CTCACAGCAGCAGCATGCCGCTTTTCTCTCTCTCCCTTACACACACACACACACACACACACACACACAGACACACACACACACACACACAGTCTTCACAGTCTTATGTGTGTATTCATGTTGTTGTTGTTTCTGTTGTATTTAATAAATGGAAACATTTTCATGTAATTATGTAAAAATATGTTTGAAATGTTCAAAAGTCCAGACTGCAGATTATTGATTGATCAGCTGTTTGTTTATGCTGATCAATGAGGCAAAACACATGGTTCACACTCACACAGCACCACCTGGTGGGCCAACAGGGACACTGCAGCAGCTCCCTGCTGCCGGCTGCATCCTCCTGAGGACGATCACAGCGACGCAACGAAGGCTGTCCAGATTCGTAGACTCCTCCAAATGAGTCCTCCTGTTCTCCAGAGATGAAGGATGGGTCCGGTGTGTCCCTCGTGGCCCACGTTCCCAGCATTCATAGTGTTTTAACAATAGTGGCAGCTGCTTAGTTTTAATATTACTCTTATTTCTCTTTCTGGGTCACAAAATAAACTTTTAAGATATTTTCAGGCGAGAATGTTTCTGTGTAAACTTCAAATACCTGCTCGATTCATCAAGACGTCACATATTTGCAAAAGGTTAAACATGATACATAAGTCACCTAAAAATGTTATTTTCATCCGTTTCCCTCTGCGTATCCGGGCCGTGGGGGCAGCAGCCCAAGCAGAGAAGCGCAGAGGGAGGTCTGTTCGTGAGTAAATCGGCTGAGATCAAAGTTATTAGATTACATAAAACTTTATTAATCCATCGGGCGCCGTGGCGTCCTGGCCTGTTTGGCGCCCTGGGCGTACGCTCCCTCTGGCGCTCTATTTGGAAGCAGCATGTCTCCTCCCCCTTCACCGGGTTGTGTGTGAGAATCATCAAACTGTAAATTAAGAATTTTAAATTGTTATTGATCCCTTTACTCCTGGTCCTACAGTGACCGTTACCCTAACCCTGCAGCGCCCCCTGGAGGACGAACCAACTTAGCCAAAGCTGCTTAGACCTGATTGGTCACAGTAAGAGGTCAGAGGTCAGCACAGGCCTTGATCCAGGAAGCAGCTTCAACACTGATCAGCTGATCAGTCAGTTCATGACATCATCGCAGACTTCAGAGGAACAGCTGACGGTGAATCCTAACAGAAATCTGTGACATCACTCAGCGACTCTCCACCTGTGAGGTTAAATGTAATCTGATTACACTGTAAACACGCTCGCTTCAGTCTGAAAATAATTTCATCATCTTTGCGACTGTGACACCGTCACACCCACCAGTGACCGCCGACCGATCGCTGTGATGTAATCACTGGGGCACAGTGAGTGTAATCTGATTACACTCACAGATACAGAGGTGTGCCTCTGACGGAGTCGCCGTCTCAGGCCTGATGACTGATCGCGCCGACAGCGAGGAAAGGCGGGGCTTAGACACGACACACACACGGCGCTCCGTATTCAAAGTGAACTTTATTGAGTGATCGGGAATGTTCAGGTGCAGCTGCACACGGTGCAGGCTCACCTGCGAGCTCCTCACTACCTTCTGATTCAAAAGACCTTCATGTCCAGACGCCACCATCGCTTTGGTCTGCAGCTGGCCCCGCAGGGGGCGGAGCCAAAGCTCAGGTAAACTCAGAAAGGCACAGAGTGAAACATGAACACTGTGAGAAGGACAGCGGGTGGCGACAGGTTAAATCAACAGATAACAGGCTGGTGTCAGGGGGCGGGGCTTGTTTGAGAGGGGGGCAGGGGGTTGGTCTGCTCAGGCGACGGCGGTCAGAGTTCAGGAATGTTTTGGTCGGGTTGGCGCGGCAACACGGTGTTCTGATGGTGCTGGCGTCCGCCGCGCCTCCGTGGCCCCGCCCCCGTCGATGACGTCACTCTACATGCCCATCCTGATGCTCTGGATGATCTGGAAGATGGCTGCGGGACAGACGACAGCGTCACTGATGATTTCATTCACACCACTCGAGTGTAAAATGACTTCACTTCAATGTAACTCTTCATTTTGATATTTACAGGATTTGTTTACATTTTATTGCATTTTTAACTCAACTTATTTTTAGCACTTATTTTGTCTTCCCCTTTAGGGCTAAATTTTAGCCCTAAAGTTAAAATATTCAGTTTATTTAAATATTTATGACATTTTCAGCACTTTTTAAAGGATTTTTCCACCTTTGATTTTATATTATTTTAAATATATATTCTAAAAATAGTTTCCATTAAAGATAACCTGACACGACCTCTGTGATCACGTCTGAGCGTGCTCAGATCACCCTGATCAAACACGCCTGAAGCACCAGGTGCTCGTCATCAATTAAAGGTCACAGCAGCACGGCGTGCCATGACATCACAGGGACAGGCCCCGCCCATTTCCAGCTCTTTAGTCAACAGTTATTTAAAGCTTTCATAAACCAGAAAATCAAAGACACATTTATAACAATGAACGAGCGTCAGCGTGAAGCAGACGGAGGAGGACTCACCTGATCCACAGACGACGAAGATGAAGAGGGCGAGCAGCCACGGCCCCACGCCTTTGTCATCAGTGAGGCTCCTCTGAAACACACACATTTATTGATCAGCCCATCACGCTCATCCCGATCTGTGTTTATTGTTGATCGGGTGGCGCAGCGGTTATCACGTCGCCTCGCTGCAGGAAGGTTTTAGACTCTGATTGTGACTAAAACCCGACCTGAGACCTGTCCAGGTGTACCCCACCTCTCTCCCAGGCGTACCCCACCTCTCTCCCAGGCGTACCCCACCTCTCTCCCAGGTGTACCCCACCTCTCTCCCAGGCGTACCCCACCTTTCTCCCAGGCGTACCCCACCTTTCTCCCAGGCGTACCCCACCTTTCTCCCAGGCCTGCTGGGCCCAGCTCCAAGTGCGCTGCCTTCACGGACAGCCCGTTTCTCTGGAATTCTCAGACTTCTGGGTCACATTAGCTCTACACTCGATCACCTGTGATCAATACCTGCGCTTTACTCTCCTGGAGAGACGCTTTTAAATCGGCCCACCTTTAAAACAATCATCTTTGACCTTTGACCTTTCCTGTTTTGAAACCCATCTGTTGCAGCCTGTCTGTAGGGGAGCTGAAGTGCTCCTGAAGTCGGCCTGACTGGACCTGACGACGGATCCTCACGCGATCGATCGGTTTCTGATCCTTTATCGATCAGTTTCGGCTCGCGCTCTTCGCTCTGACGATGACGTTTTACTCACCGTGGTCTTGGCCACGTTTCCTCTCTGCGTGATGTTCTTGCTGTGTTTCTCGTTCGCCATGCGGATCCTCTGTTTGGCCACCATCTCGTCGTCGCTGTTGTTTGTTTGTTTGTTTGTTTGTTTGTTTGTCGTCGTTTCGTCCTCGCGCTCGTCGCTCCGCTGTTTCACGCACTGGGACCGACTCTTGTTTGTCGACGTACTCAAAAACCTGATGCCCCGCCCCCTTTCGTGCTGGTCACGCCCACACTCCATGGAAAGCGCCTTACTGCGCAAACATGATTTCCTGCAGGCCCTTTCAAAATTAAAGCCAGCTGTAGTCGCCG